AAGAGAGGAATATCTGGAGGTTTGAAGACTGAGATGCTGCTGAACATTTAAATTCTCTTGCCTGACCATTGTTTTTAGCTAAATAAACAGGCTTCCCTACAAATCTAGTCTGATAGGAAACTAGATAAACCTGACAATTGGTTGGTAATTCTTCTCAAAAAGAACATGCCTGAATAACCACCAGTGGAATAGACTAATCAGACTACACCTCTGCTGTATGTTTTCTGTTGATTTTTGAAGGACACGCAGTGATGACTTTAGAGAGAGCCCTCCATAGACCTGGGTTTGATCACCATCTGCCTCTTTCCTCATCTATGCTCGCTGATTTCTCCTTTTGAGAGTTAAGTACAAGACTTTAACCGCAGAGGTCTTGTGGTTTGTTCATTGATATTCCTGTGGGAAGAGCATTCTGTCCCTTTACCTTCATGCGTGTTCATAAATTTAATCTTCTTGAACTTTGTGTGCAGGAGCATTACTTAGCCCAGCATTGTGTAGGATGCTAATTTTCATCCTAAAAAGACTTTTTTCAGACTGCTGATTGAAGGACATTATCATCCTACCTATCTACTCCAAGTGCTAGTAAGAATTTCAGAGTAATTTCTGGTACTACCGTTTTTCCTAGGCCATATTCCCCCTACCCTCCCCCCAGCTCTCCCTTTGATGGAATACATAAAATTCCATCAATGGAAGGAATTTGTGAGAAATGGTGACCAGCCTACATTCCATCAGATCTGCAGTCAATACATCAAAAAGTAATATTCCCTCAATTATTAGATGATAAATATATTCAGAAAAAAAGTTTGATTTGAGGTTGACTATGTTCTTTCAAATTTTTCAGTAATGACCACAGAGAAAATGTTTTAAAGAGAATGCTATAAACTATGTCTTGAACAGGCATGGACCAGTGGAAGGATTGTTTTGTAAAGATTCTGGTCAATCCATTTTCATTTGTCTTTTACCAGCATTTTTAAAAAACAGTAACCTTTTACTGCCTTACCTTAGAATCCCTGTCCTCACATGATATATTTAAATTAGTTTTTATAAAAAGGACAAGAATTAGACAGGGAAGAATACGTGAAACTAATTTTCACTATATTGCACAGTTATATAGTCATTTCTACATCAGTGAAATTATGTGAGCCACAGTTACCACAGGAGAATTCCAGGATTTTAATACTTTATAGCTTTTATTGGATTTATTTTTAATTGAAGCATATCTCATTTTTCTGAAATGTCTATGGATTTTTTTATATCTTCCTTCATTTTTTTCCCTCTGTCTTCGAAAATGGCTCCTAGCTCTCTGTTATTAGGAATGGGATTGCTTCCACTTTCAGCTTAGCATAGATGCATCTTTTCTCTTTAGAAATACAAGAGAAACTTCTACCACTGACAGAGTTTTCATATTAAGGTTAAACAAGGTTGCCCTCAATGGAAATTATCATAGAATGACAGAATCAGAAAATGTCTTGTGTTGAAAGGAACCTTTAAGATCATTTAGTTCTGCCCCTCTTGTCATAGTCAGGGACACCTTTCACTAGAGCCCCATCCAACCTGACCTTTAACACTTCCAGAGATGGGGCATCCACAACCTCTCTGGGCCACCTGTCCCAGTGCCTCACCACTCTCATAGTGAAGTTCTCTCTAACATCTGGTCTAAACCTACTGTCTTTCAGTTTGAAGCCATTCCCCCTTGTTCTGTCACTAGATGCCCCTGTAAAAAGTACCTCTCCATCTTTCTTGTAGGCTCCTTCAGGTACTAGAAGACCTCAATTACATCATCCATAATCCTTTTCCAGGCTGAACAAACTCTCTCAGCCTTTCTCATAGGAGAGGTTCTCCAGCCCTCTAATCATCTTGGTGGCCTCCTCTGGACTTGCTCCAAAAGGTCAATGTCCTTCCTGTGCTGGAGACCCCAGAGCTGGATGCAGAGCTCCAGGTGGAGTATCACCAGAGCAGAGCAGAACAGAGGGGCGGAATCACCTCCTCGACTTGCTGGCCACACTGCTTTGGATGCAGCCCAGGATACAACTGGCTTTCTCAGCTGTAACCACACATTGCCAGTTCATGTCCAGACTCTCATCCACCAGCAACCCCACGTACTTCTCTCCAGGGCTGCTCTTGATCTGTTCATCCCCCAGCCTGTGTTAATACAGGAGTTTGCCCTGACCCAGGTGCAGCACGTTGCACTTGGTCTTGTTAAACCTCATGAGATTTCAGGTCCCTCTAGATGGCATCCTGTCCTTCAGGTGCGTCAAGGGCACCACTCAGCATTGTATCATCTGAAAATTTGCTGAGGGTGCACTCGATCCCTTTATCTATGTCATTAATGAAGATATGAAACAATACTAGTCCTAGTACAGACCCCTGAGGGACACCGCTTGTCACTGATGTCTCTCAGGACTCTGAGCCACTGGCCACTACCTTCTGGATGCGACCGTCCAACCAATTCCGTATCCAAGTAATTATGACCTTGTCCTTCTAGCTGCCTCTGTAGGCACATCTAGTAAGATGAATGAAAGAAGGTCAGTAGAGAATGAATGGATGGTCTGGACTATATTAACACATAGGCCAAAACCATAGGGAAGAGTGTGAGGAGCCATATAGATGTCAATGGAGAGAGGACTCTGTGGGTAGGAGTCAGGTTGTGAGTGGTGCCAAGAACTAAGAGATGGAGGAGCTGACAGTGCAGAGGAACATTGTGGGCATGAGATTGATGGGAAGGGGAAGAAAATGTAAGGGACAAGCATGTGTCTGAACAACTTTCAGGAGCTGGAAAAGTGTGGGAAGGTGCTTACACCTATCCCTTTTGAACAACAAGTAGGAAAACCTTCTGCACATGTGTTTGCAGCTTAATTGAGTTGCAAGCTTGAGGTGAACATTTGAATTCAACACTTCAATTCAACCTTTCTGGAATGGAGAATAAGAATCAGTAGGCAAGTAATAAATGTAAGCAATTGTATTTTGAGGATGTTGTGATGGCTAAATTGTTCCATTTTTTTGTTATCTTGCCATAGTCCTGAGTATCTACCATTTACAATACTGAAAATGCAGTCTTTGTTAAGTACACAGCAGTGGACAATGAGAGCTCCCCCCTTTTTTCTTCTCTGTCTCAGTCCACATTTTGTGTTTCTCTTTAATATCTTGACAGTTCAGAATCATTAATGGTATAATCCCAATAGTAAGTAGGAGGGAGGAAATTAGCAGGTTTCAATCCAACTGAACCGTCTCCTCTCAGTACCAGGTGATTGGATTAGAAATTACTCTACTTGTGACAAAAGAAATTACTGAACAGATTGTGTATTAATTCTTCACTAGAAACTTCTCCAGGCTACAGCATCAGCTATTACCTTCCATTTGCACCAGCAGCCGTTGGGCTTTGGATGCATTTGCATCCATTTTTGCAACACCTGTCTCATCACAGCTGCAATTTAGATGAGCAGAAGTGCTTTGGTATGCAGCGTAGTAAGTTCTTGTGGTGTTTGAATATCGCAAGTAGCTTATTTTTTTGCCTGCATTCCTGTAAGAAGGGTAGTGGATAAACAGGATGAGCTAAATAGTTGTTTGCACTGCAACAACAGGCTGACAGTTATGTAAAATACTTTCATGTGCAATCTCCTCTGATCCTCTCTGGTTCAGAGGAGTATTATGGCCAAATTCAGCACGCAGGCTCTTGCAAACTCATTTTCATAAACTAGGGCACTGTTAAGCATAGAGGAGACCAAGACCAAGGTTGCTCTGTTTCTTCATCCCCAGCATTTACCTTTTCTTTCTGCTTTATCTCCTGTCTTCAGAATCTACACTTTAATCCTGTGGGATAAGCACAAGACCTCTTTTACTGAAGTGCTTCTACAAATACTGGTGATACAAATCACCTTGCAGAGGCTCCTGCGGAGTGACAAGGTCTGCTGGCCAGATCAGTAGGAGTTGCTTTAGGGTATTATTCTAAAATGGGATTAGTTAAATAACTCTATAACACAATTCAAACGCTGAGCCCAATTCACTTTTCTAAGCTTCCCGCTTCTGTATACCAGCTAAATGGCACTGATTAGGCTTTCAATTGAACATTTTCTGAAAGGCTTTCAGCTCATTTCTGAGATGATTCATGGAATTCAACAGAAAATTGATAAAATGACCAACTTCATGGGCAGCAGCGGTAACACAAATGTTCAATCAGCTTCTGAAAACCAGCTTTGCTGCTGCTTATGGAAGCAGATGCCTATACTATCACACAAAGACAATCTGCAGTCACAAGGAACAACTTTTTTTATATCGGTCAATTATTAGGTATAAAAAAAGAAATTGCTTTAATCCAAATATAAATATTCAAATCCCTTCATCCAAAAAAAAAAAGCTATTTTCATTAGGATTACCAGATTAATTTAATTAGGATTAAAACCCATGCCTTGTTTTTATTAATATACATCTGTTAGAGACCTACCTAGCCAGATAAGGAGTCCAATTTCTCATAATATATACCGGAAGAATAAATGTTGCTTTGTGCTAAAATTCAGTGAAAAAGCACTAATAACAACTTGAAATATTTGTGAATTACAAAAATATCCCATGTAAAATTGCTCTTTTATCCATTGCCTAATTTTTCAAATCTTAACATGATTTTTACCTTTAAATTTATGATTTAAAAAAGTGCTCTTTTTCAAAGATTAATCCTGTCAATTTTACCTTTAAAAAGCTATAAAGTTACCATGTTAATGATTATATTTTTATTTAAATATTGTCTGTTAAATAACAGTGCTCTTAATTCAGAATAACTTCAAAATTCTGGAAGGTCATCCTGCATCTTTAATATCTGTCCTCACAACAGTAAGCAGACTCTGAATGACTTATTAGGAAATATTTTGCATACCTTTTAATGCAGTCTGAATTGTCTAGGCAAAAGATGCTTAGTAGACTTACTCTGAAGTCTCTTTTTGTCTATTATCTGAACATGTTTTATTCTAGTGCATTCAATCCAGTGTTATCATTCATTTTTTTCTACTCACCTCCAAAATAAGAGCCATCTGTCAGCTTCAGCTCCTTGTTGGATTTGGTGATGACACCAGCAACACCATGTTGAATGAAATACATCTTTTTACCCACAGCCCCTTCTCGGATAATATAATCTCCAGGCTGAAACACCTCAAATCGCAGTTTGCTTAGCATGGCAGTCACGAAATTTGGGTCTGCATTAGCAAAAAGAGGCATTGTAGCAACCAGCTTCCGACAGTTGAAGTTGACAATCTCCTAAATAGGAAGGAAGCATCATGATAATAACAGTCAGTAAATATGTACAATATGATGGACATTCAAAAAAAGACTTTCTGCTTTCTTCCCAAAGAATTTCTTTATCCTCATATTGGACATTTCTGTGTCTCTTTCTGTGCCTATTTTATAAAATATTTCATCTGTTTCTAGTGAAGTGATTGAAACATCAGTGCAGTCTGACTTGCATTTCTGAGGTTAAAGACTGTCTTCTTCTGGTGACTTTTCACATGTTATTTATTATTCCCATTGGAATTTAAGGGGAAAATATGACAGAAAGATAAAAATTAAATAGGTATTACTCTGCCTGACACAAGATTAGTTGTTGCAATAACTATATTAAAGTTATGAATTTATGTAAGCCCTGTGTTTTCAAATTATACACCAGTAATATCTTTCTGTTCTGAACTTATCCAGTGGCAATATAAATGTACATTACAGTTAGCCAGTTGAAATCAACAGGAAAAATTCCTTCCCAGTTTTTAATTCATTTTATAAACACAGAGGCATACATTTCTGTTCTTCAAAGAAATGGTTATATAGTAGACCCCTATATGCAGAAAGCACTACTCTTTTCCTAAGACCTAAAGGGTTTCTCCCACCAAGAGCATTTATATTTACAGGGCCAACTATGAGCACATCTACATGAAAATAGTAGTACCAAAAGGCTGTAAGTGTCCTTGCTTTAAATAAATAAAAAATAAAATAAATAAATAATAATAAAATAATAATTATTAAAAAAAGGGAACAATTTCTGAAATATTTTCAAGCTCATTCCTGGAAACCTTATCTTGTGTTAGGAAATTAACATGATCAGTTGCCATTACAGATTTAACAGTGTATTGAAGAGCTGAGACTAATCACTATTACACTTGGAGAGGGGCTTAGGCAGATAACATCTACTGAGGTAGCAAACCCAGCATGACAGGAAGAGCAAGTATAATCATCTGCATATAAATGCACACAAAGCAAATGAAATAACTAAAAACGTAAAAGCAAATGTAAAACTAAACATGATTTTACTGTCAGTGGAGTACTCCTAGCATTTCTTACACTAAACCAAGTCTTTGAGATTGATGCAAATGAGGCATCCCACCTGCAAGTGCTCTCATTCTCTTGACTGAGACCCGTTGCACTCCTGCTGGAAGTGGCTTTTTCAATCCCCTATGCGTCTTCTGTCTCATATATCTCATATATCCCATGCAGACAGCTCTCTGAGCATGAAGCTTGGCTATACTTATCCAGAGATCTTTTCTTCTCCCAGCCCCACAATGTTATATCCTGCTTGGAGATATGGTGGGGAAGGTAATTCCACAGCATAAACAACAGAACCATAGTTGGTTCTTCAAATCAGTCCCCTTGCATCAGGGAAAAATTGGAAATCCCCCCTTTGAAGGGAAACCATTAGTTAATGAGGCAAATGGATGAAGAGTGAACAGAGTGAAGAAACAACCACCTTTCCCTGATCTCACTTCTTTACAAATAAATACAGTGGAACTTAAAAAAATAAATTGGGAAAAATGTCTCACCAGAAGCCCAAGAACTAGTCTTCCTTGTAAAAACACATGTTAAATTTGATGCAAGATATCTGCTGTTTGCCTAAATTCAAAAATTATCTCAAGCAACAGCACTACAAGATGTGAACTACCAGATAGGTGGCATTCAAATCAGTGAATACTGCTGTGTCATTAAGTCAATAGGGGTAATCCCAGGCTACCCCTCTGAGTATACTCTGTATGAGGGAATAAATATCATACTGAGATTCCAACTGGCTGTCTTTTCTAAAGGATGAGGAAAAGCTTGTTTTCCTTCCTGTTTAAACACTACTTTTCTTAGTAAAGCTTCAGGCATCACCTCTTTTCCAAAGGAAAGTCATTCTCTTCTCCCACTGCTAGCAGCACGGTGGCATCACAGGAGGAGCCCCAGACTAAATCCTCAGCTCCCTGTGAGACTTCCTTACTGCAGTCTTGGCTGATGCTGGCAATAACTATTACTTGTCTTGCCTAGCTCAGGGACATTTCAGCAGGCTTGCTGCTTGTTTTCTGTTTCTGAAAGTGAATAGCTTGTCTTGCATGCCCAGGAGGCAGAGAAAGGAAATTACTAAAGAAAGCAAAAATTGACTGGAAATTATATAGAAGCTGGTGGGGAAGCATGAAAAAAGGCTCGGAGAGTAGAAAGTTCAACTCCAGTCAAATTACGAAGAAAGAGTAAAATAGACCTAGGTGGAGTAGTACTAAGAAAGAGAAAATGAGAAGAAAACAAAAAGAAGGAACACAAAGACCTAGAAAAAATGAAAAAAATAAAAGAAGGCAGGAAGCTTGACTTTAAAAACAGATTGAGAAATGGAAATTGCTTGAAAAAGTGCGAGAACAGGAGAACAAAACCTGGAAAATAAGTGTCTAGAGTGAAAGCTGAGAAGTAGGGCAGATGAAGTAAACAAGAGAGAAATTGGAAAAAAAAGAAGTTATCAGTAACATGTCTTTAACAGTACCATAAGAGAGAGCATGATATAGAGAGAGGGGAGAATTCAGACCTGCATGACTCCTCTGTACAGAGCCAGTCCAGCCCAGCCAGAGAGGAATTCATCTCATCTTGGGAATCCCAACAAAACACACCCTGGACACAGAATTTTCATTCTTCGAATCTCATGTCCTCTTATGGCTCAATCTTCTGCCCACCTTTCTCTCTCTTATTATGAAATCTATATCTGGATATATCCACGTATACACACACATTATCCTGCTCAGCCTGAGTTGCCTAATGAAGGTACCAACATAGCTACAAAACCACCCTGCTGTGGTAATTTCAGCAGTTATATCCTAATAATGCATTCATTTTGTTGATTAGTTTTCTGTGAAAGTTTGTGCTAAAGTGCAAACCTTCCTTATTTAAAACGTTAGAAGGTGGAAAATTACTGAGGGAGAAAGAAATGTGTCATTTTTAGAGTGTTTTGTTTTTCTTTAAAGTGTTCTTTTATTTAAATATGAGATCATTCAGAGCAAGTAAAATACATTTCCCTGAGTCTTAATCACAGGCAGTGCTGCAATTTCAGATTCTTGTGTATTACTTTAAATGCCATCTTGGGGAGAAAGAAACAGTAAAGATTATGAAAGTGTTTTATGTAACTCAGAAAGTACTAGGAGAAAAAGTTCTGTGTTTTAAAAGAGAAGTAACAAAAGAACAAACTGACAAATTAAGAGGTGACACTTTGTGCAGAGAAAATTTTTCACTCATATTTTTTTTTAATTCTTTGGAGATAGATTGGAACCAGACTATGCTGCCCAATATGATATCTCAATTTAATGAAATAATAATGATTTTGTCTCACCTCTACTTGAGGAAAACACCAAATGAAGCCTGAGGAAAAGATGAGGGAAGAAAATACCAAATGAAGCCCAAGGAAAGGACTAAGAGTGCATTATACAGCTGAAGTGGTTAAAGGGCAAAAATGATTCAGACCTACATGGAACAAGTGTTGAACTAGTCCAAGTGTTGCTCTCCGTTACACAAGATTTAAGTCAGAGGTGCAGTGGTCTGCTTTATATAAGAGATTGGTTAGGTAATTACACTGACTCCTGCTCCTTTGTAGTGTATTGGTTTTATTACTCATCTTGATTTTCCTGGATATTTTTTTAACCTGATGTTAAAGCATCAGATATTATCACTTTGTTCAATATTTCTTGATGACTGCTCTGAAGCATCTCAAGATGTTAGAGAAGTAGTCAAAAGGCTGTTATAGCTGTGATTGCGGTTCTCTGATGGCATCTGTAAATTTTTTAGGACTTTTTCTCCAGAAAATGACCAGAAAATGCTGTTGCTCTAAAAAAAGGCAAGAAAGATCTGTATGCCTGAAAAGTTCTTTACTTTTTCTCAATAATCCAACTGAGCTAATAAAAGGTACTGTCATCTACAAACTATGTCCTTACGTGTAGGCCAACAAAGTCCATTTTTTTTCCTGAGTGTTCTTTCTTTACACTATGCTTTTGAAGGATGAGAAACTAAATCAGTCTTAATTTCCTGATGATTGAAAGGAAGAAATCACTTTACTGAGAAAGCTATTTTCTTCCTGTAAGAACTAACTCACAGATAAAAGATTACTGAACCATCATTAAGAGAGACGTATAGGAAAAAGCATTACATTTAGGGATTTGGGGCTGTGTGAAGAGATTAGATATATTTAAACCCAGTTTTGAGGAGTCATATTCTGTATGTGTTCATGATTTCCTGTAATTTTTTAATCTATTGGTCAATTACAGTCAAGTTTGGCAGAAAGCAGGTATCTCACTGGTACTAAGATCTCAAAGGTTTTATTACAGCAGGCAATCTGAAGGACTAGGATTAGTACCCCACTGGGGGAATGACTACATCATTATCTAACAACTTGTTAAATGCCAGAAAATCTACATGTGGCAACAGGATGCAATATTCTTCATTTCTGGTGCACCTGAGATTGTTCAAATTGCTTGGACACATTCTGTTTAATCATCTATACAGAGTTTATGACATAAAAACAAATTTTTCTCAGAGGTCTTTCATGTAAGTAATAATGACTATGTACATTTTTTCTGAGTGGGATTGACATGATTTTCCATTTTTCAATGACACTTATGAATTTCAATATAGAGATTCTGCTTAAATTTTACTAACAAACATAGTAACTCTTGGACACTATTATTTACATCTAGAGCTGTGTCTAGAAACAGTATTCTTTTTTCTTCATGACTTGATATTTTGTCATTCTGTTAACATAGCTGGATATTTTATGTGTGTGTTTTAGAAAACCTCTCTGTCTAGCCCCTTTCGTTATAGATTTTCAAGCCCAAGAATGCTCTGCTCTGATGTGGCCTGCATATCTGACCTACAGACAAAGCATAAAACCTGAAAAAAACTCTGATCTCTGAGGCAAAGACAGTTCACGGGATTTCAATTGCCTTGAAATCCAGTGGTCAGCCTATCGATTTACATTTTCAAAACCCTTCAGT